TACCTATTTATCTAAAGACGAGGAAACCGAGGTAGCTCCGACATTGAGCGAGCTTCAGCTGGAGCTACGTAAATTAATGATTAGAGAGAAGGAGATTGATAACAAGCTAAGAGAGAAGGAGATCGACTGCAATCTCGAAATCAGGAAAATGGAGGAGGAGTCTAATCGAATGCTTCGTTTTAAGGAGCTGGAGTTATCGGCAGTGTCGCACCAAACTCAGCAGTTGGGATCCGCACATCCTCATGAGTTTGATTTGGTTAAATACACCCGTTTCATTCCAGTGTTCAATGAGAGGGACGTGGATTTTTTTTTTGTAATTATTTTCGAACGGGTTGCAACAACCTTGAAGTGGCCTAGGGATGTGTGGACTGTGATGCTGCAGTGCGTTCTAACGGGGAAGGCTCAGGAGGTATACGTTGCATTGTCTGACGAGGTCAGGCGGGATTATGGGCAGGTGAAAGCAGCAATTCTGCGCATTTATGAGCTCGTTCCAGAGGAGTATCATCAGAGGTTTTGCAGTTTCAGAAAAAGGGATTCTCAGTTTTATGTGGAGTTCGCTCGTGAGAAAGAGGGACTATTTGATCGGTGGTGCTCGTCGACAGGGGTCATATCTATAGAGGACATGAGAACATTAATGCTCATGGAGGACTTTAAAAACTGTTTGCCTGACAGAGTAGCCACATACATAAATGAGCAAAAACCTGTGAAACTGTCTGATGCTGCGGTTCTGGCTGACGAGTATGTCCTCACTCACAAGTCTGTCTTCGGTGGGAGGGTTATCGCGCAGGCCCGGTTTTGTGACAGCAAGGTCAGGGAAAGCTCCGCTAACGTGCAGTTACAGGGCAGCATGTCAAGAGCTGTGGAGGAAAATGCGAGGGAGGTGAGTTGGGGACCCAGAGATTGCCCAGTGTGTTATTTTTGTAAGAAAAGAGGTAATATTGTGGCGAATTGTTATGCGTTGCGGGATGAGAAGAAGCCTGTAAAGACGGTCGCCTTGATCAATACTCCTCAACAGGGTGCTCCTAAATTAGAACTCAAAGTGTTTGCTCCGTTTCTTATGCAGGGAGTGGTGTCTTCGCTTGGGAAGAACAACAGGGTTCCGGTTACCATTTTTGAGGGATACAGCAGCATCACAATCTTTTATCGTGAGTAGTGTGTTGCCCCTCTCGGAGGAGTCTGCTGTTAATTCCGGTGTTCTTGTGAGGGGGTTTGGAATGCAATATGTAGGTTCACCCTTGCATTATATTCACCTGGAATCAGATCTAGTTACAGGGCCCGTGATTGTCGGCGTTCGGTCATGTTTTCCTATCGAGGGAGTAGATCTGATATTGGGGAATGATTTAGCCGGTGGCAGTGTGCTCGTTAAACCGGGGGTGAATCCGGTTGCAGTCACCCGCGCAAAGTCCAAGAGTGGAGTTAGTGGAGTGTTAGTCTGACAGTTTTACGGCTACGGAGTTGGACGGACCGATCAGGGACCCGCCATTATGGCGTGAGGGTGGGAAAACAGGTACGATAAGCCCCGGGGCTGTTCGTAAACCTGCCGGTGTGGTGGCGCGGTCCAGTGCTGAAAGTGACCCCCCTGTCACCTCGGAGTCCCCGATCGCTGCGGAGACTCTGGTGAAGGTTGAGTCTCATTTGGCATACTTGCCTGACGCGCAGCGGGCAGATGTACTGGAGCTGATCGTGAGGTGGAGCGCTCTGTGTCGTACCGCTCCGGGAGATTCGATCGCCACCATCGGGTGTGTTCCATCATCGGAAGGGAAGCACTGGCTATGGTTCTGGCTTTAAACCACTATAAACATAGTGGGTTTTTTTTGTTGAGCACGTCTGTCGACTTAAAGTCGATTGTTGTGATTGTTTTGTTTTCTTTAATAAAAAAAAAAGAATCACTAACTCATGGTGGGGGTGTTGGAGGAGAAGAGTCTCTTTTTCCGTCCTGAAACCGAGGGATTACGACCGTGGCTTTCCTCTCACCTCGTGTGGATATATATATTTATGCTGTATTTTTTGTGTGAACTCTGGAGGATATTAGTATAGGTTTTTCGCAGCTTTGTTTCCTTCCCAGTAGGCTGTGTTTGGACCTCTGGGTAGAGGAGCGAAGTCTGGGTCCTACGGCTCATGGTGTGGCTGGCCCAGGCACGTCGATAACTAAATTCTGTGTTTGGCATGGTTGTTTTTATGTTGCGGGTCTTCCCACGAGCCACTACCGCTTGGTAGAGGGACGGGTCGTAACAACAGTGTTATTTTTACCCAAGTTGGCCCAGAATTCAATTACAAGAACACCTATAATTGGTTATTCTCACTTAGCTAGTGTTGTATCCGAACTACATTACCTCAAGAGATGTGCATTTCCCTTCAGTTATTTATGGATGAAACATTAACATTCAAGAATAATTGGGTGGTTGAGCACTATGGAGTCCAGAAACACAAGTTGAATGTGTTTATTTTAATGTCTAACACAAATCATACTCAAGGTATAAAGACAGAACATACCGAATATATACATATCAAGTTTTTGAATCTTTGTTTTATGCTAAATCTACATTGGGGCAACGTGTTTTTCTTTTTTGCTGGTATTCTGTTTCATCTAAAATGTTGCATGCTGTGCAATTGTTGCTATCAGATAGTAGTGCATTGAACCGTGATCTTCTGGCCAGCTGTGACTCCTCCTCACAGTTTAAATGCCAAAAGTTCGCATTTTAGCTAATTGTCTGGATAAAGGTCAATGGGCATTTGAAAATGAGACACATGGTGCGCATTCATTAGATGTGATGGGAGTTTATAAGAGCAATCCTGGGCCCAGCCAATGCCTCTCCCCCCCAGGGATAGTTTGTGAAGTCCATTCATGGCGTGTTGACAAAGCTGTCAAAGCTTTCATTTTTCGGGCATTGACTGTGGGCCAGACAATCCTGTAAATCTGTTAGAGATTCTAGCTGTTCTGTACAAATAAAAGGCGAAAAAGCTGCTTTTGGAACCACCATGAGGTCCACGAGTTGTTCCAAATGGCTTAAAGTCTAGCTTGCAAGTTTTTGGAATTATTCAATATTTCCAAGTGCACCCAGATAGAACAACAACCGCTGCTTGTGGCGCTTTATAGCCCGTTCTGTCAAGATTAAATGTATTAAAACTCATATTAGCACAGCAATAACAAAAAGAACAATTTAGTTATAGAACAATCCAATTTATCTATACAACTCATAAATAATATCATCCTTGAGTCTTTATGAAATAATATGTTAAACAATATATGCACAACACCACACATACACCTACCAATGTGTTATAGCTGAGAGCTTTCAACCGAATGCTGTGTTGACATTTTAAAAAGAGAGAAACCTAGAGAGCTAGAATAATATATGATGATTTTATATTGCACATTTTTTAAGTTTATTGAAATGCCTGAATGAATGAAACAGCCTTAATCCAGCTCAACAGCAGAGTGTGTGACCCAAGTGAATAACAATGTTTAACCTATACCAGCAATTTAAGTGCATGAGGACAAGTACCTTTTAAATGCACATGGCTGGCTTAATATGAGAAGAACACATGGTTCACTGAGGGATAACATAAAACGAATTGTTACACTTACACCAGTGTTCATGACAAAAGGATAACTATAAGGGTGAATTAGAATCTCATTAAAAAATGTATTTGAATAGCGTAAACCTTAAAAGCCCTCCTTTGACTAGACACCTCCCTATGGGCTGTGTGAAGTGCTATCACTTTGAAGAGCACTGTGATTTACTGGGGAAGTTACACCATCAGCTGTCTTTATAATTAAAGGCGCAAAACCATAATTGCTCTATAAAGAGCACATTGTCAGCAGAACTCTCAACACCTCCCATCACCCTTCGCCCACACACAAAATGCATAAACACATCCAATATAATTTGGCATAATACAAAACTCTAAGCCAGAAACCAAACGGAAAAACAACTCCAGTCTATTGGGGCTATTATCCAGCCAAAAGAAAATAATCTTTCCCAGACCTGTCATCTGTCAATTGGGTGACAAAACAGTCTTCAAAGCACAAGGCTAATACGTTTGGTGCATGACAATAAAGCTTTTCTCAAAACCTATGGAGTCCTTTGAGTAAGTGGCAGCGGAAGACTTAAAAGTGTTTCTTTGACAAACCACTTAGTTCTCTGATTTTCAGAGGACGAGTAATGATCCCTTCAGAGAGAGGAAAGAGAGGGAGAAAGGGGGGGGGGTGGGTGGTGGTGTGCATTGGATTGAAAATAAGCCTGTAATTCTCACACTAGTTTTAATAACCTGCGTACATTTGAATAAATCAAAGAAACAATCACTCTGTTCAAACACTTGACCACGGTTACACAGTCTTTTGTCAGTCTTTTCCCCAGGGTGGCTGTCACTGCAAGCTATTCCTTCTCGCATGCTAATTATAAATTGTGTCAATGTTTAAGACAGAACTATTTTTCGCTTAAAGAACATAACCACTAATGGATAACCATTGCTATTTGCATATACTGACATTTGATCTGTGATATAAAGTTATAAAGTAAACCATTTATGTGTCGACTACATTAAAGAGATACATTCTGATCAACTACAAATAAATCAGTTTGACACTTATATTGATCAGTACAGCGATACCTTTCCTTTTATACATTGTTTCTACTTAGACAGTGCTGGTTCCTGCGTTAATGTCTGAATAGTTTCTTCAGTTCAGTTGAATGTAGGCCTCTCTTTGCAGAAAGCTTTAAGAGCGACTAAGACCATGGTCACGTTAGCAAATACCTTTAACAGGAGAAAATCATATCGCAGTCCCCAGAGAGGATTAGGAAGCAAATATATCCCAGTTCCAATTTAAAAATGCATTAAAGTATTGAGAAGGCCTTGTCCAAATAAGAGCATTTCATATATGACTATAGATCTCCTTTGCTTTAGGGAGGCTAAAATGAAGTTTGGCCCTGCTAACCTGCGATGTCCAACATCAATGGGCAGCATGTGGAAATGATTGATATGCTGGGATTGTTTACCTTGCAGATTAATCTTGCTCTCTGGGCTCTGCAGAAGGATGGAGCTAACCGAGTCGAGATTGTCATAGCTACTGCATCCCAGCGGCCCCGTCCGTGTCTCTGTCACCTGCAACAGAATTAGGACAAAAATTAGGCACACATTTGAAAAGCAAACATTGATAAGCGGATTGGGTCAAAATGTGTATGTGCTGGTACATTATGTGCATGTAGAAGCGAACACCTGCATCTTTGAATCTCAATTGTCTGAGTATGCAGAATTTATACCATGTAAGTATTTTCTCTTGCAGAGCTCTGCATCATTTCCACATTTTCAGGGCGCTTTCACAAGCCAGCATTTCACCTGTTTTAATTAAACTCCATGTGTCTTAACCTCTGCTGTGAACACAGCGATCATTCTTTCTGAGACTGCTTGCGAGTAAACTCTAGTGTGAACCTTAGTGTGGTTCAATTGCAATCAGAAACAAATTTGACCCAATTACTGGAAGTCGACCAAAATGCAGGCAATGATGGGCTGCCTGTGCGGACATTTGTTGAAATGGACACAGGTAAAAGACAGGGTTAAATGAGTGGGAGAGGACTTACTGGGACTTCTGGAGGAGGTATGGTGTGAATAGGAATCTTGGCTTGTAGAGAAAATGTTGAATATTCTAAATAAAGTTTAAAAAAAAGTGATTCTTATGAGCAAACTGTAGAAGAGGGAATCTAATTTGTCCCATTTTCCTGTATTCATTTGTGCGTCTAAATCTAACTAGACAAATGACAAAACAAATCAAAAGTGAAAAGAAATTACTCTGATACAAAATAACCAAAGATATTGAGAAAGAGACTAAAGTAAGCTTATGCTAAATTCAGTCACATAAGAGCCATGAGCATTTTAACAATGTCAGGTGGTGAAGATCTGTTCATTACTGCTGTCAGTGGATCATTTATAAGGACGACTTTCACATGTGCTAATTGCACAGATTTCACACTGGTAAATGTAACACAGGGAGAGGTACGGTGACAGAAAGTATTGCCACAGTAAAATCCATCATCATTTTAGCTTTTTTAGTTCACAGGACATAATTTGAGGGCTAATTAACTCTAAGAAAAAAGGGCATAATTGCATTTTTAAACAACACGTTTACACAGCGCATCTTTAATTAAGCTGCTGGTACCATGTCTCACGTGTTGCAAGGCTGTGGTGTCTTTTAAACACTTTAAATAGGTTTTCTTCAAACATGAATGGCTATTTCTGGTGAATCTATGTCCTTGGTCCATTCAAAATAAACCGCACTATGGTGGTGGTTCTTGTTCTAAACCCTCAGACAATGTTCTAAAGAAATAATGATGCTTTTCAATGAAAGAGGCCACTTTAAAATACAGAGCTTCCACATTTGAGACCTTGAGGAGTCTGCTCTTGAAAAGGAAAGGAACGAGTGAAACCTCTCCTCTTTTCAGCTGCCTTTGCTCATTAAGTTCTTCCAGAAGCTCCTATCCTAATGGTACTTGTACAAGGTTCCAAGAAGCCAAAAGAGATAGCTCTCAGCAGAAGAGATTAAGGGAGGGACTAGATGAATCTCTACATAAAAATCAGTTATATTCTTCTCGGTCTTTGTAGAGAGCAAAAATGAAAAATGCTAGGAAGCAGCAATTTATCTTGTACGTGCCAGAAATATTAAGATACTATTATTATATGTATTTGACGGCTATCTTGTTTGTTTTTAAGTTTAGAACAAAATAATGTTGTATGGTTAGGGTTAGGGTTTCTTATGTATTTGATACCAGTCAGCAATGGTTAACACAGTAGGTGTTTCTTTCAGCGCAGTTGGGGAATTCTGCTTCAACAGTAGTGAAAGTCTATGGATTTCAACCCGCAACTGATTTTTTGGCCAGTCGGGGGCAGTGGAAACACGTTATGATGAACACAGCATTGACAGATAAATGCCTTTGAAGTTGATATGGTGAGCAGTATACATTTTTTATTTGGAGTCATGTTTCTAGCCACTTTGCGGGTAGTCCAATATTAATCAAATTTGAGCTGTTTTTATTCTCCACTAATTTCGGAAGTAATTATCTGGCTCTTAAACTGCGGATTGCTTCACTATGTTTATGAGCTTGCTTTGTCCATCAGCCATTTGCTGCTGATAGGTAGCATGCATAGGTTTTATAATAACAACAAAAGCTGATTGATAGTATATTAGCAATTCAAAGGATAATGGAATCATGTTTTTCCTATGCTGATATAATGGTGATTGTATTTATGTCTATCAGAACTAAGATGTGACAGTTGTTCGGCGCTGAATGTCTGCCCTGAGCTTGTGCTTGAGGACGTGAAGACTGCATTTGAAATCCTTGATGACAAACCTGTTTTTTCCACAAGAGTAGTTCATGTTATTGTTAGACTGTATATAAATGTATGTAATTATAGGTAAAACTATTTTATTTCAGGTAGTGTTACATTTCTGGTAGACCACATTTGTAATACAGATGCGTGCAAGCAAACTGTTTATTGTTTTTGCTGCAGTAAACATATTGTTTTTGAGAGGCTAAAGGCAACACATTTTAATTAAAGCGGAAGATTTTATCTTCAACAATCATGTTTTGAATTTTGAAAATGATTACATCTAACTTATAAAAAAGCAGAGCTGGGTCACTTGCTCTGTGTGTGTTTGGATGAGCGAGACAGGGTACCAGAGAAAGAGCAAGAAGTAGCTTTAAAAAATGAGTTTTAGTATTTCAAAGCTGTCAGTTGCTGAGCAAAGCCTCGCCCGACAACGATTAGATAATGGGTAATGACCAATGTTTGTAAGATGCCTACCACCTATGGCCTCACTAACTTGTGCTTTCTAGACTAATACGTGTGAGTGTGTGTGAGTGTGTTGGCGTGTGTATATGTCCGTAAATGACAGTGTGAAACCAATTTCCCTGTCTTTAATGTTGATACGCCACCAGATGGTGGGCTGACAAGCAAGAAATTAGACAGATGTATATCTTACCCTTGGCATCAGGCTGTTGGGGGGAAAATGCAAAATCATTGGGAGACAGACAGTGACAGACATGGTAGGAGAACTATGCAATCTTAGTATGATAATGCTTTTCATCAACATAGAACACATGGTATTCACATTAGAGTAATGTCTTTGTGTTAAAGCAAGTACAGTTCGGTGACAGTCAGTCTGGGGTGACAAACACACATCAGTCTTAGACATAGTTCACCATTCTATTGTGATGGATATAACTATAACAGCTATTATGGGGTCAGTTGTTGCTTTCCCCTGTACACTATGCTCAGCTGTAACTCTCACACTGAACAAATAGTCCGTTTATTTAAAAAATGTTATAAGAGACCTTTTGTTTACATCCTTGAGGAATAATGCATTTCAAATAACACAGAATTGGAGATTAGGGCTAATAAATTATAATGGTTACTGAAATTGCCTTTTTCAATAAATTGTATTTCAAAATTGCTGTGCTCCCTTTATGAGACGCAATATCATATTATAATATTTCTCTCTGATTATCTCAGATACGTTTGCAAAGGATTTCCCCCTCTGGGTAGTGGGCTCTGGAATAAGAAATCCGTTTTGATTTGTGTTTCTCTTGATTTGAGGCTGTTGGATCTTCAAAAAAGTAAATATTACTATGTTAGATGTTTATTACAATTTTATAATCTAACAACATTGTAATAAAAAAGACAAACAGCCTCTTTGGTTAATTCAACTAATTCCTCCTGGGTGTAGAAATGTCTCTTTTGTTGCTGATGGGAATTAATGTGAACTGTAGGGCCTATGACAGTCCAATTTCACCCGAATCACAATAAATCAATGTTGTCTTGTTTAAGTGAAACATGAAAATATTTTTCTTTACAACTACTTTATTGTGTTTGACACAAAAACTGTAAACGAGACATTTTGTATCATCTCATTGCATTTTTCATCCAACATTTCTCATCTAACTGGGTCCAAGCCTTTCCCTTCTTTATTTCCTTCCAGCCAAGCAATGGACTTTGAAATGCACTTCATGGCCTTGCATAGAGTACATGTGCAGATTGATTACAGAGCTACACTTGCCTATCACACTCTACCATCTTGATGGCTGCTGACGCTGCTGTTTCTCTTCCCTTTTTGTTTTGCTTATCACCGAATGAATTACTTCCTTCCAAAGGTTGTGTTGCACGATACATGATGAGTAAGAGTCTGTCCTCTGTCGCCAATCGACATCTTCCCAGGTGGCAAAGCAGGCATACGCACAAGCTCTGGCACATTTACATTAGTATTTGCACACAAATCACATCCTCCAATGGATGTGCATAAACATGAGCAGCTTACCACAACCAGTTTACAATTCAGTCATTTTCTCTAAGAATTATTACTCCAAGTTGCGAGCGGACATACCCAGCTTTATGGATTAGAGACTGACCCTTGTAATCTGAATGACTTTTCGGAGGCCAGTATGCAGCACTTGTGTGGCTCTGTCTTACATTTTCTCCGGCACACACCATAAGAGTGCTGTGCCCCAGATTATGAAAATGAAGTATAACGCAATAAAAATACAAGGAGCAATCAAAAGACTGAAGTGGGCCGAGGGGGATTTAGAGGATTTGGATTATTAAGCAGAACACAACAGTGGATTCCCACTGGGCCCAGACTGTATCACAGCCCACAGCCCGAAATCACGGTTCTGGAACATCCTCTCTAATTGTCATCTGTCATCAAGAAAATTATTTAAGCAAGTAAATAAGGGATGATGCACATGAGATCCTAAGTTTCTTCTGTTTTTGCATTTTCTGTTTGCAACCAAAAGCACACATACTATTCCCCAAGCCCCAAATGTTGGAAAACTAACTTGTTCTTGTCTGGGCAAACTTTGTTTTTTCAAAATGCAAAATTCATCCTGGTGACATAAATACAATGCAGCTGCAGTATATCAGGAATGTGTAGGTGTTGTTCTGGACTGTGTTTGTGTGGCTGTGTTAAAACACAATTACACTGCTAACGTCTTCATACTGTATATAAAGAAGAATGCTGATCCTGTCATTGAACAAATTGAGTGTTTATCTACAGGGTTTTTTTTCTTCAAAGAAATTCGTAATATTGTGGTGACACGGTATTGGACATAATTCAC